TATTACATGATTTAAATTATACTTCGAGATTCTAAAATTCTTTCTTGGGATCTTGATAATTTTCTAATCACTTTTGCGTGTCGAATTGGTTTTAAATTTTCAACAACAACGAGGCTTGCTTTTTCAATTTTAGTAGATTTCAGTAGACGTCTGTTGAATTCAGCAGATTTCACTAGAGTTCAGTAAATTTTTGTAAATTTTGGAAAATTTCAACAGAGTTCGGTAGATTTTGGTAGATTTCAGCAGAATTTGCTAGATTTCAATGGGTTTCGGTAGATTTTGATAGATGCTGATAGATTCCAGCAGATTTCATTCAACTTCACATTCAGCAAGTCTCCTAACACATGCGAACTATAGTATACACATAATAATTATTACACTAACATTACGTGACCTTATTCCTAAGTACAACGTGGTCTATGTATAACTGTGCCGTACATATCTTTACGAAAGTACCCTGACAAAAAAGCTCCTGTCTTTTCGAAGAAAAGTGAATTTTCTCTGTGATGGAATCGAGTGTGCCAATTTAAGATAGGATTCTATGACGCTTCGTATCGTGTATACCTCAAAAGAGAAACTATATTTTTCTGATACCGAACAACCTGCTAGCCTCTATTCGCGAAAGACAACTACGAAAATAGAAGAGAGAACAAAGCACTCGGAGAGAGAGAGAGGGAGAGTGTGTGATAAAAAAACGAAAAAGAAATGTAGATTAAATTGCGAGATGATATCTGAGAAGTATTTTTCAAATATATTATTATCGAGATGTTAGAATTACGAAATAAAAGAGTATACGATCGCTTGTATTGCATTAAGATTGTTGTAGAAATTTCTGTGAAAATTATCCCGTTGTTAAATGTTCGTAAATTAATATCGAACCGTGCTACACGTAAAAACGAGTGTATTAATCAACGATTGTCGTAAATGTTACAATGAATGTGTAAATGTATTATAATAATCGAAATTGTATTTAATAAATGTGATCAGTGCAAGAAAATTTCAGTCTGAGTTTCTATCACGTTTATCTGCAATCTTTACCTGCTCTTATTTTTATTTTTTATTCATTACCAAACCTGCTTACCTCGAAAGAGCGAAAAAAGTCAGGAATATTTCTACTGTTCCGTAGCCTCGTTAGTAAATGATCATCGAAGTTCGAACACGTGCACGCGTATTTTGAATATCATCTATGTGGGACGGTAAATGGAAAATGAGCAGGCAGCAAGTGTGATAATCTATCGTGGCCATCATACTTCTCGAATTAAAACATGCTCCAGAGATAAGAACTACGAAATTTCATCGAGATTGTCTTGCACAGCCGTGGCTGCTTAATTAAATTTTGAATTGATAATTTTGTGCCACGTTGTAGAAGTTTAATGTGAAATCTGTCCAGGAATTAATAATTTTCTGAGACCTCGTAGAGATTTACTTGGTTTAGAAATTATTGATCTTTTAGGTACGTCCAGTGTCTAAGTTATAAATGGTAATTATATTTGTTGAGTTCCGGTACTTCTTCGTTTGCCATATTTAAATGGAAAGGAACTGAAACACTTCTCGTTTAGCAACCCTTTCGTGACCAAATTATATTTTTTTGAAATTTTTCTTTGGTTACCGATATCGTCGTGTTTATTATGGACGCTAAATTGACGTCAATTTTTGCTCAAGTAAAATCGAAGGAAATTCTATAGCGTCTCCGTAATGGCATTCCCTCTCAAAAAATAATAGAAAAATTTGTGAAATGAGAGAAGACGCTTCCTTTTTTTTTATTTTTTATTAAATTTAAAGGATCCTTGAAACTATTGATCTAAATTATAAAATTCGACAGTAACTCGTGGAATGACCTAATACATAGTCAAGTGGGACATATACGTTTACTAAAAAATCACAAATCGATCAAATTTACAAATTCACCCTCAAGTAGAAATCGATTTTGTGTTTGCGTAACACAGTGCTTTGTCCCAGATTAAAGGTGTTAACGAGTACAATCGACTGTTCTTCTCGTTGAAATCCAAGACAGTGAAAGCGAGTCGCCACACTAGCCAATCGAACGAATGTCAGCGTCAACAGGTTGACAAAGGCGCGACAACGTCACACATTAAACGTGGCTTGGTGCGCGCCTTGAGATCCATTGCGTTCGACTGCCAAATGCATATGCACTTGCACTTTGAAGTAGCCCTATAACTTGTGTACGCTACAAGGGAGCCACTTCGTAATATCGAACGAGGGTGAAATCCGTCATCGATAGGGGAACAGCGTTTACGCTGAGGATTCTACGTTCGAAGAACGATTAATTATCAGTCGAGGGTTAATGGAAACGTTTTACAACATTTCCTAGAAATTCAATTTATAATTCGATTCTGATCGAATAGATTCGTTTTTAACTTGTTTAATTATCACGTGAATTGATCGATTTCTATGAAAAATCAAAGTTTGAGGAGTTACGTTATAGTACAGTAATATATTATGTTATTATTATAATATTTATTATTACTTATATATAACTATATATATTATTATTTATATACTATATATTAGACTTCCCCCCAACCTCATCCTATCCATATAAATTATATATATAAAATTCTTTTTTCCAACGTTGGCGGTCACCCATCCTTAACATCAGTCGCGAGGAATGCAGCTTGACTTAGAAAGCTACCGAAGGGTCACCCTACCCACTCCCCATTTCTCCCCCGATAAACAAAACTGCATTCTCTTGCATTTGAAGTTAGAATAACTATAGTAAATTTACTACGGTCATTTGACATAAAATAGTCACTTCTAAGTCACACGGCGTTATAAACGTTAAATTCTCAGCTCTACTGTGCGATATGTACTGAGAAGACGAGGAGCGGAATGGCACAGGTGCAAGAGTCACTGCGTGAGTTCACCGTCACGCGATGGATCAGTAAATGCGACCGTTTCGGACAATAATAAAAATGCGTGTGATTCGACTTTACGAGTATGTCCGCTGCAACCAATCACACCTGCATTCTCCTTCCACTCGTCATCTTCTCAGCAACGCACAGTATGTACACTGCCGTGCATAAGTATTTGGACACTATACAGGAAATATACTTGAAATAAAACTCTATAATATAGTTTTAGGGTTGCGACCTTATCCCAGGCAACCCACATAACGTTTATAAATACCAATGAAAATAATATTTGACATGAATTAGTATAAATGAAAAAGCAATAACTGAAATCGGTGGAAAGTTGATGTTGCGAAAACACATGAGTTCATCGACTTCAAGTGTTTGTCGAAAATTTCATGAAAAATTATTACCTCAATATGTTGTGCCAACGGTGAAACATGGAGGTGGTAATGTAATGTTTTGGTGCAAATAAAGTGGACTAATAATAAAAATAAAAGAATATTTAAATATTTCATGTGGACACATAAACGAACGCAATATTTCATAATTTTCATTAATTTGTTGGTAAATTTATTACCATATACTACATTCTAGATCTTCTACACCTCAACGACATACATTGTTGCCGATTATAGGTAGAAATATTGCAATATAATAAAGACCTATGAACTTTTTAATTAGATCGCAACGAGTGTCCAAATACGTATACACGATAGTGTATGTATGTAGTAACCATCGGTTGTCTTAAGAAGGAGAATTACATTTCGAAGATATGTAACGCAAATGTCTTTCCTCCACACCGCTTAATGTAGGTGACATTCCTAGCCCGCGACTTTGCCCTCAGCTCTGCCCGCGGGCATCCGCGGGCGCCCTTGCCCGCCAGAAGGCCAGCTGAACGATACCAACATACAATATCGAATCTCCTGCTCCATATTAATTCCCTTATTAGTCAAAATTAACCTGTAGCTGTGAATGATTGAAACACAGACAAATTTTTTAATGCATGGTACATCACTAGCCCTCAGCTCTGCCCGCGGGCATCCGCGGGCGCCCTTGCCCGCCAAAAGGCCAGCTGAAAGTTACCGAGGCACAACATCGAGTCTCCTGAATATAGTAATTCCCTTATTAGTCAAAATTAACCTGTAGCTGTGAATGATTGAAACACAAGCAAACTTTTTAGTGCATGGTACATCACTTGCCCTCAGCTCTGCCCGCGGGCATCCGCGGGCGCCTTTGCCCGCCAGAAGGCCAGCTGAAAGTTACCGAGACACAACATCGAGTCTCCTGAATATAGTAATTCCCTTATTAGTCAAAATTAACCTGTAGCTGTGAATGATTGAAACACAGACAATTTTTTTAAATATACCGCAATGGAAGAACCAATTCCAAGTTGATATCAATAGCCCTAAACAAGACTTGACTACGTTATCTCCTTCGAATTGCTGTTTTATCGCACGGTTTACATGTACTTCGATGCCTGACTGATTCTACAACCTCACTGCATCGCTTCCACCGACTATACCACAATTCCACCCGTGAAAATTCCGATTTCTCGACAATCTATTCCTATAACTTCTCGGAAAATAACAATCCAAACGAGACAAGAGTGACCTCTTGCATTAGCTACGTAACGAGTTTAATAGAATAACACTTGGGCAACATGAGCCACTCATAGTACAGATTACGGTCGTTGAAATGTCAAAGTGGAAGCTAATTCTACTGGTTCGCACTGGCTCACATTGTTAATCGAATCATTCCACACTTCCGATCGTAATCGAACAAATCGCGCAATTCCCAAATTTCCAAAAACAAACAAACAATGTACCATCTATCCTTCCTCTTCTGCAACCGTAATTTTACAAATATCGTTAATACGGACGTTAACAAAGAAATTTGAAAGAAATCGCTCGAACGTTACACGATCTGGACCGCGTTGCGAGAAGAGGAAGCGTCGATTTCACGAGACAACGCGAGCACCCAGCTCGGCCTAATCATCGAAGTACAAAAGTTACATGCGATCCACACGCACTTACACGTGCCTTTGTGTATATAGATACTTTCAACTACGTCGTAGACAAGGATTACATCGAATTAACGATGGCAAGCGCGGTCGAAGAGGCGAAGCTGCCTTGTCAGAACGTGCCTGGTAATCTTTCCAACCGTGGCTGCTGCTATAAAGGAGCTTTCAACTGCAAGGAGGGTAATTCGGGTAGTTAAACACGCTGCAACAACATGAACTTCACATTAATCCCATTCTTTGTAGGTCGGTAAGCCAATTAATCTTAATAAGCATTAAAGAGTACCGTCCATTCGATACCGTTCTTGCCGCGTTCAATGTGCCGTTGTAGGTAAACGTCTTTTTCGTCAAGTGTGATATCGATACGTAGAAGAATGTTTTTTTTTTTTGTATCGTGAAGATATCGTGAAAAATTTTTGTAGAATTTACGGTAACTTTTTGTGCAATTATGATGTGTGAAAGTGTGCGAAAATAGATGAAACGTTGGAATCTCTTGAGATAGGTAAATAAAAATGGTAATTTAGAGATAAATGTGTGATAGTAAGTTAGTAACGCAAGTAAAGTTATTTTCATGTGTTTTGCATATTTTTGTATGGTAGAATTGCATAAATATTTGTAGTTTATTTGTTATCATTTGTTATCGTTCTTCCGAGGGGAATTTTGTAAAAATTATGTTTTCCTATTCTCGAATTTCATATATTCTGTAGTAAAAAATTGTATGAAATAATTGTAAGATTTAGAAGTATTTATTCAGTCGCAAATATGGTTATATTTGTTATAATATCATTTGCTATCGTCTTTTCAGAAGAATTTTATAAAAATTGTATTTTCTATTCTCAAATTTCTTATACTCTATAGTACAAAATTCCACAAAACAATTCTAATCATCGCTACTCCTCATCCTCACTTCTAAATCACCATTTAGTCACAACTCTCGTTATTATATTTATTATAACATCAGTTACTGTAATTTTTAACGAAAAATTTTATAAAAACAATTTTTCTCATCCTCAAATCTCATATATTCTATAATAAAAAATTCTATGAAATAATTATTATCCTCCTTTCTAAATTACCATTCAGTCACAACTCTCGTTATATTTATTATAACATCAGTTACTGTAATTTTTAACGAAAAATTTTATAAAAACAATTTTTCTCATCCTCAAATCTCATATATTCTATAATAAAAAATTCTATGAAATAATTATTATCCTCCTTTCTAAATTACCATTCAGCCACAAATCTCATTATATTTATTATAACATCAGTTACTGTAATTTTTAACGAAAAATTTTATAAAAACAATTTTTCTCATCCTCAAATTTCGTATATTCCACAGTGAAAATGTTCCAATCATTCCAAAATTCCACTCACCCTTCCTTCTGAATTACCTTTCAACCACAAATCTCGTTCCCAAAATCACTCAGTCCCCAAAAACCATTCCCATCGTACATGTTCTCATCTTCCATTCGATCTGACCGAGCAATTTTTCTTCCCATTCAGCGACAAACATCCTCGTGGACCAACCGGACCAATGGGTCTACGGTCCGGAGTTCGTCTTCAACACGAGCTTGACAGAATCGGTATTCACGAACACGATGGTAAAGCCACTATACTGGATGAACCTGACCACAACGATGAGGTGTCGTCCAGAGGACGTCAACACTTTGCTCTGCCGCTTCGATCACGTCAGAATGCTCGCGTTCGTCGACCAACAACCCACAGACATAGTGATCGACTATCCTTTCAAAATCGAATTCAGCCCGCGTGGAATCGAGAAACTTCGACTGCCGGAGGAGATCGACGACAAAAATCTGTTCTTCCTTCGAAACATCGTGAAAGATCTGAGCATCGGTGCAGATTTAAGGGAGAACGCGGATTCATTGCCGGTGTTCATCGCCAAGCAGAATTATGTGATCGCGGGATGTGCCACGCTGTTCACCGTTCTCAACCACGACCAAGTTTCCAACCAGACGCGAAACTACGATTTGCAGATATTGCCGTTGCCGGGAAGACGGCCTGATTCGGTCGTCGTGATCGAGAAGATCACCGAGCACAAGAAATGCGCTAAACCGGGGAATCCAAGTTACAGCATGCAGAAGATGAATTATAAAATTGTAAGGGAGAGGGAACGAAGGGGTGAAATGAATTGGAGAAATCTGGAGTTATTAGCGCCTGAGATTTTCAGATGTAAACGGTGCCCTTGTGGAAAAAGTATTTCGACATTTTGCAAGCATCGCAGGTCATTTCATCGGTGATAGTTATTAGGAAGATGGTATATTATTTATTTAACTACTCGTGTTTTGGTTCGTTGCTTTTATATTCCGGTTCACTGCTTATCAATAGAAATTCAGGAACCAGCCGAACTAAATTTGAAGCTCTTTCCTTTCAGTTTCATTGTTTTTTTCAATTTAATTTTAATTCAACATAAATGATGAATTCAAGACCTCTCTGATTGGTAAACAGTGACCTGGGATACAAAAGCAGCGAGCCTGCAATGCTCGCGAATCGTCGAAATACTTTTCTTTTTGTAAGAACGCGGTTCACACCTGGAAGCTTCAACCATGATGACTAAAAGTAATACGAAGTTGTCTCGAATCTTTTTAAGTTTGATACATTGTTCTATTGATTTTCAGAAAACGTACGTTAGTAGAATGCAGATCGGCGACACGACGTTTAACAGCCAAACGAGGATGCACATGGAGATGAAGACGAAGGAATTGATCTCGATTCGGGATATTTCCTATGTGGAACTGGTGGATATTGAACGTGCAACGGAGCCGATGCCACAGGCGGATTTCGACCATGTCGCAACCCTTTATTTCGAATAGGATACGAGGAGAATATGTAAAGACCGATATAACCGTAGAACGATGAAATTACTCTGAACGAGATAGTAGAAGTAATAGAAGAATAGTAATAAAGTTGTATATGCAAGAAAAACTGGCGATTATATATGTAGCGATTATTCAAGGAAATCACACGTGAGTGAGTTAGAGACGTAGGAGTGATTTTAATATTGATATTTATTATAAAAATTAGTAAATTGTATTTGTATAGTATTTGCAAGGTTACGCTCACGTTAGACTCTCGGTATAGCCTGTTCTCTCACTCGTTTCTATTTCTCTCTTCTGTTTCTTTTAGTCATTTTGGGGTATTTTTAGATAGCACTCAGTCATGTTCACTTGAACCCTTGGGTAGCAACGCATTTTTTGTTTATACTGTAATCGGAAGTACTCTATCCTGAATACTCTTTTTCCGCACCTTTATCGTTTTGAGGCAAACACTGTTATTATGCACCGACCCAAATACTCTTCCTTGGTACTTCTATCACTCTGACCCAAAGACTATTCTTTTACATTGACCCAAACATCGTTTTGAGGCAAACACTGTTATTATGCACCGACCCAAATACTCTTCCTTGGTACTTCTATCGCTCTGAGCCAAATACTATTCTTTTACATTGACCCAAACACTCTTCTTTTGAACTGACCCAAATACTCTTCCTTTACACTTCTATCGCTCTGGCCCAAATACTCTTCCTTCGCACCTCTATCACTCTGACACAAAACACTTATTTTGCACTGACCCAAATACTCTTCCTTTACACTTCTATCACTCTGACCCAAACAATCTTCTCTTGTTCTGACCCAAACACTCTACCTTCGCACCTTTATTGTTCTGAGACAAACACTCTTCTTTTGCACTGACCCAAATACTCTTCCTTTACACTTCTATCACTCTGACCCAAATACTCTTCCTTCGCACCTCTATCACTCTGACACAAACACTTATTTTGCACTGACCCAAATACTCTTCCTTTACACTTCTATCGCTCTGGCCCAAATACTCTTCCTTCGCACCTCTATCACTCTGACACAAACACTTATTTTGCAATGACCCAAATACTCTTCTTTTGCACTTATATGGCTCCGACCCAAATATGTACTATTATTTTTCACTGACCCAAATATTCTTCCTTTGCATTTCTATCGCTCTGGCCCAAATACTCTTCCTTCGCACCTCTATCACTCTGACACAAACACTTACTTTGCACTGACCCAAATACTCTTCCTTTGCACCTCTATCACTCTGACACGAACACTTATTTTGCACTGACCCAAATACTCTTCCTTTACACTTCTATCACTCTGACCCAAACAATCTTCCCTTGTACTGACCCAAATACTCTCCTTTTGCACTTATATCGCTCCGACCCAAATATGTACTATTATTTTTCACTGACCCAAATACTCTTCCTTTGCATTTTTATCGCTTTGACTCAAATACTCTTTCTTCGCACCTCTATCACTCTGACACGAACACTTATTTTGCACTGACCCAAATACTCTTCCTTTACACTTCTATCACTCTGACCCAAACAATCTTCCCTTGTACTGACCCAAATACTTTTCTTTTGCACTTATATCGCTCCGACCCAAATATGTACTATTATTTTTCACTGACCCAAATATTCTTCCTTTGCATTTCTATCGCTCTGGCTCAAATACTCTTCCTTCGCACCTCTATCACTCTGACACAAACACTTATTTTGCACTGACCCAAATACTCTTCCTTTACACTTCTATCACTCTGACCCAAACAATATTCTCTTGTACTGACCCAAATATTCTTCTTTTGCACTTATACCGCTGTGATCCAAATATTATTATTTTTCACTGACCCAAATACTCTTCCTTCGCACCTCTATCACCCTGATCCAAACACTCTTCTTTCACAACTCTATCGCTCTGACCCATACACTCTTCTTCCACGCCTCTACCGCTCTAATCCAAAGATCCTTCGATCGCACTGAAAGCTCTAGCATAATCTAACTCGTTACAAACATTCACACGAAACTTCCATTCCCACATATCTGAAAGTATCGTCACTCATTTACTAGTGGATTACAAATATACACTCTTCGAAATTGCAACGTCGATAACGTAAATTCCAGCAGGAAAATTTCCACTGATAAGCTTGCTCTTATCAGAGACTGTAACTCTAGATAAGAAAGGATTATCAACGATCGGTAGGGCAGAGCACGTTTCCTTATCGAATACCAGAGCAAAAATAAGTATGAATAATCTCAGATAAATTTTCTAGCATACGCTAATGACAATTCTACAATAGCTATTAAAAAACAGAAATTAAATTCTACTTAAAGATTGTATTAATAATTAGAGACAAATGAGCGCGAAATCATCGTACTTTGATTATGTCACGTACGTACAAGGGAGGTAATTGTTTACCAGGAAAATGATCGGAACAAAATGAATTCTGTTTCTCGAAAATCGCGAGTGAATCGAGTCGAAGTAGCATAATGATTATCCCGCGTGTGGTGGGACGGCTTAATTAAATTAAACGACGAGGTCGTCAGAGTACATCGTCGATATAAAAGGACCTTCAAGCCGAAGAACAGTGTTAAACCAGTTGAGAGCAGTGCTACGACATGCTCGCCCCATTAATTCCGTTCTTCTTAGGTCGGTAAGCCAATTTTCCATTTAACCGTCTTTATCGTCAATCTGTCTGAATCGGGCCAAGAACTGCTTATGCGAAAGATAATATCATAACTAATTGTAAATCATAATATCCTAACTTCCGTTCGAACGAGCAAAAGAAGAAAAAATCAATTAGAAACGCACATGTAGTAATAAAATAATCAACAACCGTTGTATTGAATTTTCAAAAACACACGCAAAATTGTTCCATTAAAATTCATTTTTGAGATAATACATATTTTTAGTAGAAAGCGATAAAGTTCCTTGGAATGCAAAGTGTGCTTAACTGTGACGTTCGCGAATTTAGAATTCTCTCTGAGTTAAGTTAAAACTTGTGTGTCGTGAAGAGTGAGTGTTGTTCAAGATGATCGGTGTACCATGGGGTTGGTGATCGAGCGAGGGAAGCTTCCCAGAGTGTAGTGAACAGAGATATCGCGGGAATGGAAGTTTCGTGTGAGTGTTTAGAACGAGTCAGAGTATGTTTGGATTAGAGCGACAGAGATGTGAAGGAAGAGTGTTTGGATCAGAGAAACAGAGGAGAGAAAGAAGAGTATTTAGGTCAGAGTGATGGAGAGTATGAAACAAGAGTATTTGGGTCTGAGCGATAGATGGTGTGAAAGAAGAGTGTTTGAGTCAGAGTGTTACAAATGCGAAAGGATAGTGTTTGGGTCAGGATGAAGGAAGAGTCTTTGGGTTAGAGCGATAGAGGTACGAAAGAAGAGTGTTTGAATCAAAGAAACAAAGGTGCGAAGGGGAGTATTTAGGTCAGAGCGATAAAGGGTGTGAAAGAAGAGTATTCGGGCCAGAGCAATAGAGCTGCGAAGGAAGAGTATTTGGGTCAGTGCAAAGGAAGAGTGTTCGGTCCAGAGCAATAGAGCTGTGAAGGAAGAGTATTTGGGTCAGTGCAAAGGAAGAGTATTTGGGTCAGTGCGAAAGAAGAGTATTTAGGTCAGAATATTAGAGGTGCGAAGGAAGAGTATTTGGGTCAGAGCAAAGGAAGATTGTTCGGGTCAGAACGATAGAAGTGCAACGGAAGAGTATTTGGGTCGCAGGAAAAAAAGAATATTTTGGTCAGAGTGATAGAGGTGCGAAAGAAAAGCATTTGGGTCAGAATATTAGAGGTGCGAAAGAAGAGTATTTGGGCCAGAGTAATAGAGCTGCGAAGGAAGAGTATTTGGGTCAGTGCAAAGGAAGAGTATTTGGGTCAGTGTGACAGAGGTGTGAATGAAGACTGTTTGAGTCAGAGCGAAAGAATATTGTCTGCATCAGAGCGATAGAGGTGCGAAAGAAGAGTATTTGGGTCACAGCAAAAAAAGAATGTTTCAGTCAGAGCGATAGAGGTGCGAGAGAAGAATGTTTGAGCCAGATTTCTTGTAATTACGGCGTGAAAGAAGAGTGCAGAGCCATCCAAGGATTCAGATGAACATGTCTAAATGCTATTTAAGAGTGTCTGAAATGAGTAAGAGAAAAAGAACAATAAAATATAAGAGTATAAAGTTGCAAAGATGTAGACTGTAGAAGATACAAGCTAGTAAGGGAAGAGTAACTTAATTGTTACAATAAATATCCATATCGAAATCACTCCTGCAGCTCTAACCCACTAACAGAGTAGTTTCCTTAACCCATTACGGACATAGGACTAAGTACATCAAGTAAAAGTACTGATTACTCGTATAACACACAATTAGCCCACTACTTCAATCAAACTTACATTTTCCTCAAATGCAGTGCACGAGTCACTCCAACTACTTTCGTTGCATAAAAATATATAAGTTTATTAATTGCGTTCGTAGTGTTTCGTGAACGCATAGGGGAGAGTCGTGCAGTACCGGCCACTTTAATTTTTGTACTATAACTTGGGCTAATGTTGGTAAAAATGAAATTTGAAGAAAGTAATTTGTAGTACAAAGGGGACAAATGGTTTTCCTTAAATTTTCTCATAAAGATAAATAATTGGTAGAAATAAAAAAGTTGTAATTTGCAGCGAACGAGAAATTGTCGTACAGTACCGGCCAGCTACTTAGTTGGTAGATTTGAAGGTCTAAGTAATAAATAATGTTAGTAAAAATTATTTAGGCAGAACTTTTATTTAGGCATCGATATTTTCTTGATCCGTACACTCCACGCGAGCCCAACCGTTGCAGCTATGAAAACTAACTTTTGTCGTACGGAACACCAGCGTAAACGTTCAACGTCTTAGAACTCTGGTAATACCGAAGAGAAAAGAACGTCGCCGGAATACATTGCTCAGGGCTATAGTATTCATTTGTTTTTTCATCAAAAGTGCAGTCAACTAACAGAATAAGCGAGATCTAGCTTTGGCCAGTACTGCACGACTCTCCCCTATACGAGGAGCCTATCGTCCTCAAGGGGTTTAAATAATCCCTACAATATCAATAAAGACATTAAAAAAGTATGCAAAGCTACCCTACGTTGAAGGACGCGGTAAAATTCCTTCAGCAATAAAATCTACCAAAACCCATTTCTCTCCTTTCAGTCGCCCGCGTGGCGGTCGACGAGAACGTGTGGAAACACGGACCAGAGTACGCGTTCGACGTGGAGATGAACATCACCTCGTCCCCCATGAATCACGACGGTGTACAGAGGTCCAATTACACAGCGATGAATCTCTTCTGCAACCCGGCAGGATCCGACGGATTGAACTGTCATCTAGGCAACACGAGAGGACAGAGTATGGACATGACAAACGACAACAAAATCGACGTACCGGAAGAAGAAATGGATAAACTGTTCAGCGAGGAACCGTTTGAGATCAGATTCAACGAATACGGTGTCGACTATCTCGTAGTGAACGAGAATATTCCCGTGGAACATTTGAACAACATCAAACTGATCACCGAACGATTCAACATCGGCGCCGATCTGAACGGGATTCCCGACGGAACGTTCGACATTATGGAGAACACAACTATAGGACTGTGCAGCGTTTCCATCGCGATCAATCATTATCCGTCGAAGAGAATGATGAACAAGATAAAGAACAACCGATACGAGCTGGAGTCTTTGCCACAGTTGAACAAAGTTCCCAGCGAGACTATAGTGATCCAGAAAACGACCAATTTGAATAATTGCAGCTCCTACGCTAGCTTCTATTTTGGATCCTACGGAGATAATGTGATCGAGGCTGATCTCAATTCACATCTAGTGAGCAATTTAACGTCATTCTACCGTAACAATTTTGCACAATTTTTCTTCCAGAAAACATCGGGATCTATAATCGAATTTTTGTGTTCACTTTCAGGATAGCTCGTCGAGTCGTATATTCGTGAGCGATTATCAGTTCGTCTCGACGATGACAAGGCTAGGAACCATAGGTTTGGACGAGAAGAAGAATCTAACAGCCATATCTCAATACGTAAGTCTGTCTCTCCGCGACATTCGAGCCGCTAAACGTGAGCTGGAGAAGATCCCCGAGGCATCGTCCACTACAATCGTGGCGAATTCAGAACTGACCAAGATCGTCGCGATGAAATAAAAAGTGTCCAAGATTACTTGGGGAAAAGAAAGAAACATTCTACGGGATAAGATAATCGCAAAGCTTTAGGTTAACGATAGATAAGGTAATCGATGTACAATTAGAATACGTTGTTAAATGTACAATGACAAAGTATAAATAGAGAATAGTTATTTAACAAAGATCTGCGCACGATTTTGTAACAAACTTTATATTCACCTTGAGACAAAACAGCAGACAAGAGACGATTAAAAGTGTACAGCCTCAATTAGATAAATTTCTTTTTATTTAAGTTACAGATACATTAAATTATATATCTACCCACACACACACACACACACGTTCGTCTAACGCACAGAATAATCGTGTGCGTGTGAACGTATACGCATTCTTCTTTCTCGTAGTGTTCAACGATCATTGTAAATTGGAAATTCATCGATGAATCGATTTAGATAATAGAAATCGAACGAAAAAAAAAAAAAAAAGAATAGAATCTTAGCATAACGTGTGATCGATCATCTTTCTCCAGCGTTCATACGTTTTTCTTTTCTTTTCTTCCTTTTGCTTTTTACCGACACTTCGTTTCCACCTTCACGGAACCACAAAATCAAACGCCACCGCGTCACGTATTTACGCACTTACTTCCGCGATCGAATCTTACAAAATCTAGGTGCGCGGATTGCAAACGGCCCTCTTAAGATTTAACGCCTCGAGCGTGTGTATACAATTTCATCTCACGTCTCCTCTCTCTCGAGACTCGATCATCTCGGGATTCGCAGGACACACAAAACGGAATGTAATTTCGTATCCTGATTTATGAGAAAACAAATGCAAAACTGGTACGCGTGTTGTATCATCGTTACCCGTGGAATGAACGAATCGATCAGTCATTGAAATTCAATAATTAACGCACATAAAGAAAAAAACGAAACGCTCGAAAGTGTCCTGTTTTTTCTTCCTCCACCGAGAAAATTTTCTCTCGCGCGTGTCTTTTCTATTTTTCCCCCGATAAAGGAATGACTTTCGAACTCTAGTATATCGATGGATTGCACACTTTCGTTTGATTTTCACAGCTACAGATCGAATTTATCCCTAGTTCTCTATACACAATTCATCGATTTCAACTAATTTAGTATTTTTTTTCTTATTTTGTTAAATTTAA